TAAACATACCAACGAGGAAGCGCTCGAGTATTATACGAAATACTCGAACGCTCTAACGAAAACAAATCGAACGGAAGTCGTAAAATTTGTGAAAGGAAAGATTTAGCCAACGATGAGACATAAGTAAACCAACGACGAAGCATTCGAATATTATACGAAATACTCGAATGCTGAAACAAAGACACATAGAATGAAAAAAATAAAATCTGCAAGAAGAAATTATTGTTAAATTATTTAAGAGAGTGGACAATGGCCACTGAATAGCCATTGATCTAGCCAACGATGATATACAATACAAATAAACCAACGACGAAGCATTCGAATATTGTACGAAATACTCGAATGCACAAACAATGAAAACTAGAATGAAAGAAATAATATCTGAAAGAAGAAAGATAATTAAAACCTGAAAGAAAAAATAATTAGTACCTGAAAGAAGGAATTATTATTAAATTATTCAAGAGAGTAGACAATGGCCATTGAATAGCCATTGATCAAGCCAACGATGATATACAAATAAACCAACGACGAAGCATTCGAATATTGTACAAAATATTCGAATGCACAAACAATGAAATCTAGAATAAAAGAAATAGAATCTGAAAGAAGAAAGATAATTAAAAGCTGAAACAAAAAATAATTAGTACCTGAAAGAAAAATATTAACGCGGACCCTCCGAAGTCGAAGCGACAACTGGCTCGAGCCTGCACGCGGGCCCCTTATATAGCGGCGGCCGACCGAAGATCGGCGAAAATTTCCGAACTTTACCGATTCCTTTAAAAGTTACTTTTCCGCTGTAATAACTAATAATTTATTAATTTTCTTGACTTTTATCGTTAATAAACTTTGCAAACTATTTGTTATCAATGATTTTAATTTGTTATTCACAATAAATTTATTAATTTATTAACTTCTTGTAAGTTCCAAATATATTCTAACACAAATTCGTCGTTTGTTAAGTAGTGGGTAATAATTTATTAATTTTTTCACTTTTATTATAAATATACGTTGCGAGCAATTTGTTATTAACAATATTAATGTGTTATTGACGATAAATTTATTAATTTATTAGCTTTTTGTAAGTTACGAATACATTTTAACCCGAATACGTTGTTTGTTTAAGTAGTAGGCAATAATTTATTAATTTTTTCACTTTTATTATAAATATACGTTGCAAAATATTTGTTATTGGCAATAAATGCTGCAATTTATTAATTTTTTGCTAATTATAGGTACATTTTCACGCAAATACGTTATATATGCTAGTAATAGCCAAAAATTTAGTAATTTTTCCACTTGTATTATAAATTTACGTTATGACCAATTTGTTATTAGAAATAAATGTAATCATTTTGACACTTTTGCAAATTATGGGTACATTTAAACCTTAGTATGATATTGTTCAAGTAATAACCAATATATTTCAGGAAAATAAATTAGACCTGAAATATAAGAGTTATTGACAATGCAACGATGAGACATGAACAACCCAACGATGAAACACAAACAACCTAACGATGAGACATTCGAATATTGTACGAAATATTCGAATTCTCAAATAAAAATAAATAGGAACGAAAAAATAACATCTGAAAGAAAAAGAAATAATTAAATTCTAAAACAAGAGAAAATAATTAAAACCTGAAAGAAAAAAAATTAATATCTGGAAACAAAAAAGAAAATAATTAGTAAATTGTTTAATGAGGTGCGGTGAGGGTGGGGTAGCCATCCCCAACCTTACTTCGGACCCCCACCCCTCGCGCACAAGGAAAAATTAGATGTTACACTTCCGAAGTCGAACTGACAAATGAATTTTGCTGCGTCACGTCGCCCTTTATATAGCCTTCGATCGGCCGAGCACCCCCACCCTAATTGAAAATATTCTAATTACGCTAATTCCATTAATTATTATTTTCCCGCTCTAATAGCCTATAATTTAGTCATTTTTTTACTGTTATGAAAAATTTACGTTGCAAACGATTTTTTAATAATAATATTAATTTGTTATTAACAATCGGTGTAATAATTTTTAAACTTTTTGCAAATTGTTGGTACATTTTAACACGAGTAAGTTATAAATTCATGTAATAGTCACAAGTTTATTAATTTTTTCACTTTTGTTATAAATTTTCGTCTTGAACAATTTGTTAGTAACATTATTAATTTGTTACTAACAATAAATATAAAAATATATAAATTTTATTTATGCTTTTAGAATATATATTTCTTTTAAATATATTTCTATTAAATATATGTCTGCTTTAAGAAATTTGTTATTCACAATTTTAATTTATTATTAATGATAAATTTGGTATTTTATACATTTTTTATAAGCTATAACTGCATTCGCACTTCCATAGGAGAAATTTCCATGATACGTATATATATGTAAAAATATCTTTATTTCCTCTGTATTTAAGGCTAAAATGATGTATTGCATGGATCGTAAAAACATTAGAAAATTCATTACCACCGTAAAAGGTAGGCAAGACTTCATTTTTTAACAACTTTATATTGAGAAATCATTGGTTTTTATGTATCGACTTTGGAAACTATTTCAAATTACAAGTTATTTAAAGAAATTTCTTACAACTTTCCGATTGGTATAAAAAGGAACATGAAAACATACGCATATTATGGATATGATAAGTGAGATCTACTGGACGATGATTTTAGTGTATAATGTAATGGAGAGTTATCAGACATAACCTATATTTTACTGTACATGTACTACTTTCATTCATGAGTACCAAAGGCTAATTTATGAAATAAAGGGGCTTAAGTCGCAATATTTTTCCCATGTGGGAAAACTGTTTTTCTCAAGAATACAAAACAACCCTAAATAGCGCAATTAATATAATTGCTCAACCCAATTCCTTTTCTGTTTAAGTTGTTTCGATTATTAAATAGATAAGCAAGAGAGTGAATCTATTAACAGCTCATTAGTGCAGTCATTAAGTCATACTTTCATGAAAAAGTGATTCATCGATTACTTGAAACAGCTTTTACTCTTTATTATACCATTAATTCATCAACGATGTTAATCATTAGTAGCTAGTTACTCTGTTATTAGGAACAAATTACTCCGCAAATGAAAATTCCGTACAATATGATTTTCTTGATTAGGTCCTAACATGCCTATCGAGAATAGAAAGTAACGCATACCACTGTCGATAATTTACCTATACTTGGTCTGTGATATTAATAAATTCTAATAAAATTTTGTGGCGAATAAATTAAAAAGTTTAATAAATATATCAAACAATAGATATCATCTTGGAAACTTATCAAAGTATTAAATTATCTTTGATATCGAACTATAACGATGCGTAAGTAGCTCTCTCCCGAAACACGATACCAACAAGTTTGGGGGACAGGTTTGAAAATAGAGAGGGCGCAGTGGTGGTTCTCGCTGGCTAAGTGCAAAATAAAGAGTACATAGAACAAATGGGCGGCTAAACTCGCCATAGCATGGCATAATGATAACACGCTCGAATAATAAGGATAGCCAACAGAGGAGACAGGGTTGGATACGCACGCGTGGGCCCGCGTTTGGGGCCCGTCTTCCGCTTCCACTCCGGTGAACGTTCTGGCTTTAACTCTGGTTCAGTTCCACTACGTGCTTCTAGCATTGTACTCCGACGTCCTAGATACACTCAATTTTACATCCACCGACTGTTTTCTTTTCTTGTTTCTCAGCCATTGCTGCTTCCCGTATGTGATCCACCTATTCTCGTTAAATTACGATTCTTAATACTTAATATTCAGGTTCAACAACGTGTCTGTACAAGCGACGTCTGAAAAGGGGGAAAAGTGCATAAACTTGATTATTTTCAACAATGAATATTATTTAATTAAGTTTATAAAATAAATTCAAAATTTTAATCGTGCTTTACGTTATTTATTATTAGGGGTTTTAGTTAATAAGACGTCAAATTTAAAAATAAATAGTAAGTGTAGATGGAAAGTGATGTTTGAGTTCATAAGAACTATGGTGACGTATAAATAATAATTGCTGTGGTGGATTGTACGGGATGCAGTGGAATTTAATTTTCCGCTACGAATGATAACGAAAGTGATGACCATTGTAACTCATTAAAGACTTAATTACATTAAACGTCACACCTTTAGGTCCGTATTCGAGCGAGAATATTATTTACAAATCTGTATTTTCTGAATAATTTTCGAATTTATGAATATATTACTCGGCTTTGTTATAAGAAAACGTAATATATTTGAATTTCATAAGGGACGTGAAAATGTTTTGACCGCCCGCCGGCGATGGCGCTGCAGTATCTCCGCAGTTACGGAGTTTCCTTCGAATTTCACAACAGTTCACTTCGTCTCATGTTCTTCGGCAGAGTGATTCCCGATGTTCATTGTGAACCATCAAATTAAATATGATTGTTAACGTTACCCTTGAAACTATAATTTAAAATTTACGTATTAATTTAAATTGTGATATTTCTTAATTTTTATCAAAGTGTCAAATATTTAATACTTTAAATTTTATCGAAAACTGAAGTAGACAGTGTTTGTGAACAGAATCCGCTAAAAATAATTTCCTTTTATTTTAAACGAGTGTTAAAACAATTTAAATTTGTACAATTAATTGTGAATACGAAAGGAATACCAGTGACGTGATTTTACGCGCCGTGCTTTTGAAAGGATTTCGTTTTTGACTCGTTTGGTGCCAGCACGTTTAGTGATCGATTTAACTATCGATTATCCATAAAGAAGGTGTTGAACAATATTCGGTTAACGCTGATTACTTCAATCAAAACTCGAAATCGTAACTTTGTGATAGAGTTAACAACGAATTAATTTCTGTAATAAAAATAATAACAAAATCACAGAATTATTAAATATTTATCCGAGACTAGAACCGTTAATAACAGCGAGTGTCGATGAATGACCAATACAGGGTAATTTAAATAATCAATAAAAAAGAATTCCGAGAAATACTATTTGATCAGAAATTAAACTGCAACTTTGATAAAATGAAGTCTACGTATCTTCAAAGTACCACTGTGATCATATTTGTGATCGTTGCCCGAATTACAGCCGAGCAAAGATTTGCAGAAACTCCGGCACTGTACCAAGAGGTCTCTTCCGGAGACGATGTGCAATTACGGTGCAGGGTGCAAGACAAACGGGGTCAGTGCATTTGGCAGAAAGATCGGAAACCGGTAGGCATGCATCCGGATAAATACGAATGGGCTAGCGGACGTGGTAGCGATTGCACCCTCCTTATCAGAAGAGCCTCCCTCGATTTCGACGACGGCTACTGGGAGTGTCAAGTCACTTCTGGCGACTTCACGCGACAGGATGCATTAACTTCGTTACCATCTCGTCTTTTAGTTAGAGGTAAGGTTAGTTTGTCGCTATTTTATTAATTGCCGCTAGAGGGATGATATTTAATCCCTCTTCTCGCTAGTGCCCGATGATTGCATCTCTCGTATAGGTTATTAATAACCTATAAATCACAAATTCACACAAGGTATTTTTTCGTTTCCCTAAATCTTTTAAAATCCTTTTTTTATTAAATGTGACATTGTTTAATTCGTGTAATAGATATTATATTTTTAGTAAATTCATATTTTATATCTTTCTAAAATTTTTATAATGATTGTGCTTCTCATATTTTCTACGTAAAGTACTATTTTCTATTTCAGAAAATTGATCCCTCTAAAGCGATACCGAAAGTTTTTTTATATTCATTAGTCACTAATCCCTACACAAATGGAGGCTTGTTTTACAAAAACCATTCCACTTTACTCTGCCACTGCTACCGACCGAATTTTCCGAGCATGCACTAGACCAAGAATTTTTTTCATCCACTCGAGAACAGATCTTCGATACCAGCCTGCATGTGTACACGATACTATCGACTTAGGATAGTTAAAAAGGAAAAAAATATGGGAACAGGTTGCCTGACTTTTTTAACCAAGATCCAAGTCTGGGAAAGCACTTAAAGTTGATCAACCCGGTAATCCAATTTTTCCTAGAACACTGCTAAAATTACCGTTCCAAATGGCTGAAATATTAATGTAATACGCTTATGTTAGAATTAAGAAATCACCAGAGGCCACTTAATGCTCTACACAACGTTCCATGAAACGTTAAATCGTTGAACAAGTGTGTACACTTAGTTTTAACGCAACGTTGCATTTTTACGTCACCATGGAAATATCGCTTTCCTCGACGTGAATGATCCTCGACGAATCATATATGTGGCTAATCAGATTCTGACGTCTTCTGAATGGAACGATGCAAATTCGGCGGTGCAACTTAAAATTCACTAAACGCGGGCACGACGTGATGCAACGCGAACCAGTCGTTCCGTTCTACTTTTCTCTTCGTTAGGGGATTTTTGCAATAACCGTTTTAACGAAAATTTTCTGCCGATATGGATCCTAATCCACGTATTCGTTACGTTGAAGCGAACATAATTTATTAAAAAGGATTAAACAAGACATAATCGTTGTGAACTAACAAATTATTCTAACAAATTTTAATCTCAATAGGCATAGTTATTAGCAGTTATTATAAGCATGGTTTTTAATGAATCGAGAATTTTCTGTTATTCCATATTGTATTAATGTAGAAAAGAAAGTGAAATGAAAGTGGTGACTGGAGAATTTAGTATAATTGCAATTTTAATTGAAAGAGAAGAAACTTCACGTTTCTCTTTCATTTTTGTTATTAAATATGTTATTGTTTGGTGGATTTCAGTAAAACCACGGAAACCACGGTTGGAGTACGGAGGGACAATTTTAAACTCCGCCCTAACTTTAAGGGAGGGTCAGGAAGTTACCATTTCCTGCGTATCAAGATATGGAAACCCACCGGCCCTTATCAAATGGTGAGGCTCGTTAATTAATTCACTAGTGCAGTGAATCTAATGCAACCTCGCATAGTCATTAATTATTAAAACAAAACAAATTTTGCTGAGTCATCGAGGCTTAATTTTCAATTATTTTCGTTCTGTAAGCAATAACTTGATAAAAATGGTGAAATCCAAGGATGCATTTTTGTCAATTAACTTTTCGTTTTCTCGCTACATTTATTTTAATTGTAACCGCGACAAAACATTGGTGCAACGGTACTGGCTATATTCCTGTTGTTTTTGCAGCGACTTTCATTCAGAGGTATGCTGACTGTAGTTGAAATTACTTGATTAATTCCCAAATTTAAGCGAATCCTTGTACAAACAGGTAACAGTACGAATAATTTGCAAATATTTGTGTTTTTATCTTGTTTATTAAAAATAGGTCTATCATCATAGAGCATTTCAGTAGCTGTTTATAAAGAAAAATCCATTAAAGTGCCTCGTTTCTGTAACTGGACACTAACGCATACTTTGTCTTCGCAGATTCTCTAGTTTCATGAAAACTCTACTCACTGAGAGATAAAAAACGCGGTTCACAGAGGCTGTAACTGAGGCAAGAAGCCATAACGCAATGTTTATGCAGCGGAGAGGTTAGCAGCGTCTTTTTCGTGTCATGGTCTAGTGATCAGCTAGCCACACCTCATCTAAATTCTTATAACATAAAACTGACTCTGTACCGATCATCACGTTCGCATGAGCGGTGTTACAATTTCCACGAACGTCTGGCAACCGTGAACACACGTGTTACGCAGTGTAAACACGACTTCAGGGCCGTTTTGATCTGATTTTCAGATTGTAATTCACTTTAATTGCGGAACTATTTTCAATTCGTGCCTTTAGCGCAATTTTTAAGGTTATGTTACAATTGAACGAATTGTACAGTATATATTGCTCTTCTTATTCTATATTTTATAAATTCACGCTTTGACGTAATTTTTAAGGTTATGTTATAATTGAATCAACTATATGGTATATATTGCTCTTCTTATTCTACATTTTATAAACTCACGCTTTGACGTAATTTTTAAGGTTATGTTATAATTGAATGAACTGTACGGTATATATTGCTCTTCTTATTTTATATTTTATAAACTCACGTTTTGACTTTTGTGAACTATTGATAAATTGGATTGTACAATGCGGTTGCTTTGCGCGCGCAATTATAAATTTGTCTAACTTTCAAATCTAAAAGCACGGTTAATTAATCGCGATTGCACACGCAGAATTGTATTCAAGATTTGGTCTTAAAAGTAACAAAAGTACCGTCACGGTTGAATCCCGTTGTTATAGATCGTTAATCGCCAATACTTAGAAAGCGCAAACGATTTAGTTGAACAAGGAAGTCCTACGAGTGGAGAAACGATTTCACTGGTAATTGCCCGTGAATTGTATCCGATCCGTTTCATTTTTCACGGAACCTCATCTCTCAAGCGTTTAGCCAGTATCTCGAAGAAATGAAAAAATACTTTCTCTCTAAAGCTATTTCACGAAGCAACAAATTTTAAACGTTAAATAGAAGAATCATATATTTTTTAAATAAATTTTTTAATAAATGATAAAAGATTAAGAATTATTTAGAAAATTAAGATGTTCAATGGACAGATTGTAATGCCCCAAAAATCGATCCTTTTTACATAAACGTTCACATAAATGAATTCATAGGCTTTATGCATAGGTTTTCACCATTTTCCATACCTCTGGTGGTGACACCAATGCCCGCAATGTACGACTGGTTAAGGTTAGGAATAGGAAATTTCACTCGACAACTCACGTACTGCCAGACATTTTTTCCATGGAAACGAATCGAATGTAGAACGAAGAGAGTCAGAACAATTCCTAATTTCACACTTCGCCTTGCGTTTGTAGAAATTATGCCGACCATTGTAACGGGGCGAGGTTCCAGCTCGTTTTATAGCCTTTAATAGGCACGCTGTCTAAATAGACACAGCGTTGCTCGTATTTTTTTCCGCCTTTCTTCCGTCCCTTTTTCTTTGCTTCAATGCACTGAAGATGCAGTGGCAAGCGTAATTATGCAGATTGTAGCCGTAGAAGCGGAGAAACTGGCCGCGGGCATAGTCGCCCTGTGAATCATTCTAGAAAGGGTATAAACCTTGAATATCGGTATTCGTGGGAAATTGCTAAACCACTTTCCGGAAACCTGAACGTAACGGCTGTTTACGATTACATTGCAATGGAACAGTGACAACATTCTTCAGTCAAAGGTACCAACATTTTGAAGAGAAGATATTCCTAGGAATATCTAAGGCAATCTTTTTGTTAACCCTTTGACTACCACACCGAAATCACATGTTTCCCTTAGGACGCCACGGGAGTGCATCGCTAGATGTAAGACTTGTTCCAATATGTTTTTGATGTTCTAATACAAATTTTTAATCGTTCGATGGGGCACTTCTTATTTCAAAGTATCTTCTAATTAGCGGTTATATTCGAAATACACTAATTGTCAATTTTCATTTAATGTAGATCAATGTAGTGCAAGTAGTTCAAGCGCTCCGGTCACCATTGACCACCGTGGCGTCACAGGAGAAACCTGGGCGGTCATATATGACCAACGTGGCAGTCAAAGTGTTAACCAGTTTCGAAAATTCTTAATTAATCAGCAGGACTTTAATTGATTTTCAGACACTCTGGTCTAAAATCTTCAATTTTTGTTTCTGGAAGCTCTTCTTATTATTCTGTACTGGGGAATGCACACTATCACATCCACAAATATTTAATATTATATATTATATAATCATGTACTTATGTAATTTTATATGTTGTACATAATATATTAATTTAGGATAATTATTAATTTATTAATTTAGGATTTCTTCAATAAGGAAGATAGTCATTGAAAAATGTATTTTAATTTGTATTTTAAGTATAAATTATTAAGTATAATTAATATTCCTTTATTAATATTTATTAATATTTATGTTAATATCAGATATAAATATAATATATATTGTATAAATTATATATATTTAAATTACAGTGTAAAATGTATGAGATGTTTTTAATATTAATTGTGTGTTTCTTTCTACAGGTACATAGGAGGGGATGAAGTGGAGCCCCTGAGGGAGCAGACAAACGCAACCGAGGTGGACAGTCCGAAAACTTGGGCAGCCCATAGCCTCCTCCGAGTCCGTGGACAAAGGGAGAACCATGGTCTGCCGATTCGGTGCATCACGATGCATCCATCCAGCGTCGTTCCAACTGCTGCGGAAACACGTCTGGATGTGCATTGTATGTATATTATGCGTGCTTTCATCTAACGAGTATAGACAAGTTTCTACTGATGCAGGATGAAAACAACTGCATCTGCAATTCACGCTACACTTCACTTTTGGCCAGTCTAGTAGATAGACGTTGGAAAGTCATAGCGGATAATAATCTTCTCTTCCATGAAGCGGAAATCTAGTATTAAACGAAGATTTGAGTTTCTAATGATCAAAGTTAGAGAAATCATTTGTAGGATTTCTATTTTTAACAGTGTCGTATCTATAAAGTAACAGTGTATGTCTTTGTCCAATGTGTACGTTAACCCTTTGCGCTCCAGAGGCTCCTCTCAGTCGCCATTTAATCAGATTCTAGAGATGGATGTTAATATATGAAATTTACAATTATCGATACTTGGAATATCGAAGTAAAATAATTATACGCCTTAATTTGCATACGATTTCTTATTTACCATTTTGGAAATATCGTCGACTTTATGCCAAAAAGTCTTTGAATTATTATTTTCCTGTAACGAAAAAGTCGCCGAGTGCAAAGGGTTAGAACTTCGACACATTCCTGTGTAGGATTAAACAAAACTCTTGGTAGTACGCTACTGAAAAGATTTGAACTGTCATTAAAATGTATGTGAAATTTCAGATTCCCCTGAAGTGAGAATAGAAACGAAGCCTCGACTCCTGGTCGCAGCCCTAGAGGATTCGGCTAGCTTTATGAGCCTGAAATGCTTCGCGGATGGCAATCCCAGCGGAACGATCAAGTGGTTCAAGGATTCAGCTCCCATCGTGGTAACAAGCAACGTGGTAGCGTTGATGCTAAACAGAACGCAGCAGAACAGCACGATGACCGGCTCTGAGCTGAGATTCGAGCCGGTCAAGAGAAACGACGCCGGTCTCTATTCTTGCAAGGCGGTCAACGTTATCGGTGAAAGCACTGCAGCTAACTACAGACTGGACATACAATGTTCGTAGTCCGACTTTTACCATGATACCTACTTCTATTTTCCTTTTTTTCCTTCACGAACAACAACCACCGTGATCAGCTACGAGAACACGTTAATTTGGCTACTTTCCTTGGTTAACGGTTGTGCTTTGTATCCTAATCGCAGACAGAGGAACGGTTGGATAGAGTAATGGCAGTCGTGCTCATCGATGTGAACGTCCATTTGTCATTTATTAGTGGTACAGTTATGGTTTGCTTTGACCAACAGTTACTAGGTTTCTCTTTGTAATCAATTCTGAGAAATTGTAGCTTATTTTGAAGAACATTATAATCTTCCTATATTAAGCAAGACTATATTCTTTCAGTGATAAATTCACAAAAAATACTTGAGAAAATGCAATTAACAAATTTTCCCTGCAAATTCTTTTAAGCTTTCCTTTCTTTTTTAGATGGTCCTAGATTCAAGTCAGAAGACCCTGCTCAGAACGATACCGTACAAAAATTTGAAGAAACTACGCTGCTCGGTACAAGTTTAGAACCCTTTGAATGCATGGATTTTGAAGCGAATCCCCCAGCTCAATATCGATGGGTGCATCTTCGTGGTGGCGTGACCGAGACCATCGAGAATTCTCTGCAGACCAAGGACGGTGGTAAACGACTGCGTTTGGAAAACGTGATGTGGTCTGACGAAGGAGAATATCGATGTGTAGCGTTCAACGTGATCAACGGAGTGCGAAGAGAAATGCCTAGCGAGGCTCGTTACGTGCTCCATGTAACCGGACCGCCTGAGATACAGGCGAGGCCTTCTTCCGGTGGAAAGGGCATTTATGAGTCGCTGGGATGGGCCGGGGAACCGGAACACACTCTGAAGTCTCGTTTTTGCTCAAGACCACCTCCTAGGCTCGTTGCTTGGCAATGGGGAAGTTCGCATATCAGAGCTGGTGGGTCTTGAAATATATTCATCGATATAATCGATATATCGATAATTCAATATGGCGGAAAATTCAATATCGACATCTCTTTTCCTTCTTTAAAAAGATTAATATCTTTTTCTTAATAAACTATTTTAATATTTCCTCTTAATGTGATTATTATTAATAATCATTCTTTTTCTTTGAAGGTGAGAGTATTCATCCGAAGTACGAAGCACTATCGCTAGAGCACGTCAAGGAAAATGAAATGCCAACGAACTGTTACTGGGCAAAATTGGTGATCAAAGATCTGCAAAGAGAGGACGCTAGAATTTACACCCTTTTAGTGGAAAGCGAAAAAGGCAGAGATTCTACTAATATCAAATTAAATATTCGTGATCCAACAGAGATGAGAGTAATTGCAGCAGCTGCTGCAGTGGGGTTATTGTTTCTACTTCTTTTAATATCTATTGCGGTGTATTCGATACTAAGGCTAAAGAACAGACGATATCGTCAAGAGGAAGAGGAAGGCAGCATTGCTGCAGATGCGTTTTATAGTAATTCCGCTACAACAGATAGACAGAAGAACATGAACAATTCGACCCAGAGTAAAGGATATGCAAGGAAAACGAACTCGGAGGGTGGATTGGCCGTCACATATGATTATGACCAGATCACAAAGCAGGTGCGTGCCATGAGCCCAGAAGCATTGAAAGTCAGGAGAGCACCAGCTGTTCTTCAACCACCAACTATTGTGTAACTGTTAACGTGCTCACTGCCATGACAATTGTTCGCGACTGACGATGAACCATTTGTGGTGTCTTGTCTGTTGGTGTATATACACAATATGTTGGTCATATTGTGTATATCTATCTTCATTACGAACAGGTTAATATTTTTCACCACTTCTGATTGAAAATACGATAAAACTTGTGTAAACTATCTATCTTCGTGCATAATCTGGCGATTTTGCCTTATTTGAAAATTAGTTAATGTGATAATTCTATTGCAAATGTTATTGATTTTGTGGAATTTTATCTAATTTTTTTTTTTGTGGAAATTGAATTATTTGTTGTTGCTACTATTGTTGTATTTTAGATTTACTTTTAGCTTTATTAGCGTAATTTACATGGTAAATAAATATTAGGTGTGTAATATTACTTTTGCAACATAAGTGCATTTTTGGTGTACTGGAATTATATATTTAGTATTCGTGTAACTGATCTCGTTGTTAAATATTTTTTTTTTTTGTAACATACTCAGAGTCTTATATCGATACCTATTTTTGCGATTGTATTTTTATGTAAAAAAATAATGCCAAATAATAAATATATGTACATATTAAATAAGGAAAACGCGATTTAGTTTCATAGAAAGTACTTAACTAGTTTTAATAGCACTATGCGTGATCAATTTTTCACTATAAAATAGCATATGTGTTCAGTGCAATAATGCAGCATTGCACCCCGTCAATTTAATGTAATATATTCTTAATAATAGCAAGACGTATTTTAATAAGAAAAATATAGTAAATTTTATAGAAATAAATATCGGGTTTTTTTTTAAATATAATCCATCAATTTAAATTTCTCTTTTATTTATTTAATCTTCTTTAACTTTCGTTCTTCGATCTTAGCGCAAAAAAAGATATCCTACGTAACTATAGAATAGCACTGACAAGCCTACATAAGACATAATTAATCTTTATGTAGCATTAAATACACTTTACACATTGTAATATTATTGCATTATATAAAAAGAAATTATATAATCATTAAACATTGAGAACATATAATTTTCTTGGTGTTTCTCAAAAAATACGATATGTGTACATATTTCTGGTATTTTAATTATTTGCAACATATATTACTGACATCTATAAAACTTAAACCTTACATTATTCACGCAACTGCATGTTCTTCCATACATTTTAACATTCCTCTTAAAGTCAGGTACACTTTAAATAAATTCAGTAACATTCATCGCGTGTAAGGCGTAATTCTAACATAATTCTTTCCTTTGTAGCTTTACGGTGCATGTAAAGAAATTCACGAAACCATTTAACGACTGTAGTAACTAAAACAAATTTTTGTTACTTTGAAGTCCATATGTTGCACAATAAATTCTTCCAAGATGAAGGATCGATCTTTACACAGTAGTGATTCTTTGAAGATTGCTTGTTCAACAATGATAATTCTTCTTTTTAATAATATTCCTTCTTTTTAATCTCTGACACATCAAGAATATTTGCATATTTTAACGCTGTAAAAACTATAATAATAATATAAAAATGCAAGTTCTCCATTTATATATATTTCGTAAATTCTATACCGAGTTTAACATTTGAGTTGAACATGCCTTAGAACTTCTTAGAAGCTATTACTATATAGAAAAACAACTAGTAATATAAGGAATTCATTATAGTAAGAAATTTATGTTTCTATTACAATATATCGTTTTCATATTAAATCATTTGCAATTTCTTAACAAGTATTTTTCTTTATTTATTATGTTTTGTATATAGTCTTTCCTCGGACATGATCAACTCAACACGTTATTAAATAACGTAAACGATAAAGTATAATTTGTATGGTACACAAAAATAATTTACAGGAATCCTTTCATGTATTATGCTACGAAATAGCATGTACTCGTGTCTTTTCCGATTTAAAGAAATTATATCTCGTCTTTGTTCCATAAAAATTCAGACGCCTATTCCAGACACACTCTGTATAAGCGTAAATATTATCATCTATAGGGTTACGATTGAGGTTTCTTACGCCTGCCAAATAAGTTGCTTAAAACAGAGCTTCGTTTATAATCACGATCCTTACGATTACTACCCATGCTGTGTTCACTTTCTGATCCACTTTCGCTAGCTCTTCTACTATCTACGTTCGCGAGGTTTTGAGGATTTTGTGGAACTGCTGGCGGAGCCACGTATGGTGGTAAAGAAACTGGTCTTCCTGTGAAAGAATTATTTTGCTGCATACCCTAAAACAGGTACACATAGTAAACATTTACGTATACCGTATTTTACAAAAAAATTTTGTATAAATACGTTTTAAATACGTTTCCTTCTTTTAAATTTATGCTGACGATTTTAATCTTCAATTTTTTTAAAGCTTTTTTTCATTAATTTATTTTTAAAAATATAATTACCTGTCTGGGACTTATAGGGACGTTTCCGTAAGCTGTAACAAAAATTGACATTTATATATATATTTTTCTTTCTTTCTTTTTCTTCCGAAATATTTTCTTTGATAACAATATTAAAGTTTAGAGCAATTAATACACGACAAAAAAAATTAAAGAAATTTTGTATTCTTAAAGAGGTTCAAATGATTCATGCTAATTATTCGGGATAGACAATTCGGGACAGATAAAATTACAGTTAAAACAAGACATGCATGAATGACTGACAAACAATTAATAATGACTAACCAGGATCATGAGGAACACCCCACTGAGCTATTCTGGTTGGTGGAGGGGCACTTGATGGCAAGGGAGGTGCTAATTCTACAAAACAACAACATCCAATGAAACAGGGGGATCTTCTACACATATACAAATGTAATAAAAATGTTTTCTAAATACCTTGGTGCTGTGTACTAAGATCCACATTACTCTGCCTATGCCAAGGCGCATTAGATGAGTATTGACCGGACCCGTTATGGTTTAACGTTGCACTACGTTGTTGGTAAAAACTAGGCCTCGCTTGCACTTGTTCTAAGTCTATACAATCACAAAAAAATTATAATTTACTTATTATTTCATACTTTTCAAATTAATATATTCACAGAAATACAAACAAAATCTATTAAATTAACATACCATCGCGTCTATATTGTGGGATAGTTTCTGAACTAGGAGATCGCATTGGAATTGGAGGTGGTGCACCTCTTGGAGGAATAGGTGGCTTGTCTCCAGAATTTGGTTGATACTGGTCTCTCTGGCTTGCTAGTTGTTCTTGTTGTATCAATTGTTGTTGCTGTGCCAACAATTGTTGTTGTCTATGCATTTGTAAGAATTCTGTTTGGGTCTGTGGTGGTTCCATTCTTTGGGAAGTTATGAATTCGGTGTTATTTTGTGGATCGCGTTTTTGTTGATTTTGTCTGTGCATCTGAAGAAACTCAATTTGCACGCTGCTCGGAGAATGTTGATTCGATATATCGCGCCTGATTACAGAATTTTTTCGTTCCATTTCTGGAGTCGAAGCGTGACTGCTACCAGTTGAAACGTTGTCATCAGCATGATCTATAGTTACATTCTGTAATCTTTCCAAACCTTCTTTTTGTGATTCGTCATAACTTAATAATTGTAAGCTCGGAGGTAATTTAGCATGGAATGATATCTTATTGACCCAGTCTTCCATTTCTTGTTGACTTGGTGCTAAGAACAAAAATTCTGATCCGTCTGTACATTTCAACCTAAAAACATTCTTCTTCTTAGTATAGTTATCTGCTTTCTCACATATAGCATTAAAAATAGTGATAGGAGCAGTGGCTGCCTTGCTCAAAGTAAAGTCCTCCACATCCTTGAAGAAGCATAGGAGTTGTCCACACAATACCGTGTAATATTGTTTCCACGAACGTACGGCTGCCTTTTTACCAGCACTTTGAAGTTCGTGTTTCCTTTCTAGTACACACTGAATTTCTACTGGTGGAAGGGCATCCATATTTTCCATCCTCTGAAGTTTTCTAAAGCTCTGGGTTCTTCTTCTGGTCGTGAAACTAGGTGTCCTCTTCGGTTTCTTTGTGTCAACCTTCATACTCTCTGCCCTTTTGATGTCAGGTGTGGTTCTTCTAAGTTTTTCACCAAATACATGGGCTAAACCATGTGGTTTTTGTATTGGCGTTGAATCTAGGCCCTCAGATGTGGTGGAAGCTTTTAGAGGTGACAGTTTATTAATAGACTCTTGATCATCAGTCATTCCATTGACTTCATCATGTATAGTGCGATGAGGACTATCCAGTAGTCTTCTTCGTTCTTCCTCACGTTTCCTTTCCTCGGTTATCCTCTGTACTTCTTTACGTTTTCGTTCTTCTAAGCGGGCGCGCTCTACTCTTTCCTTTTCTGCCAGTCTGGCGGCCATTTCTGCCTCTTGCTGCTTTTGGAATGCTTCTTCTAACATAGTTATACGCCTAAGTGCACTGAACCTTTCTTCCTGTGCTTCAATAGTTTTCTCAAAGTCCTCATGCTTTCTTATGAGTTCTTCTACCTGTGAAATACTTTCTCCCAGTTTTCCATCATGTAACATAGGTTCTCTGCTCACGATCCAATTCTCCAGTGTTTCTGCTTCGCGTTTAAATAGTTGGGTATCCAAATTCTGTTCATAAATATGTCTTCTTTTCTCCCAAGTATTTTTTAGGAATTGTTGTCTATGTTGTAGAGCAGATATTTTATCTTCAATCTCTTTTGCCAAAAAGTGACCTTCCTCTATCAATTCTTGACCCGTTTTAAAAAATTTATCGAAAGCCTCGTTCCGTGTTTCAATTTCTGCTTTGTACTCGTTGTGTCTTAATATCAGTGCTTCGGCACCTGGCACATCACGCGCCAATTCAGGAGCAGTTACTTTGGCTACCATCTCATTTATCCAGGACATCAGGTCTCTGTATTCACCCAAATATGCCTGCAATTGTTCTGCCTGTGCTAACTTGCTTCTTCTTTGAGCTGCTTTCTCTAATAATTCGTTCCAAGTTGCTTCAGCTTCTTGATGTTTTACATCTATGTGTATACGAGCGTCTGGGAATAGTTCAATCAATCTAGAAGCTTCTTCCATCAACAGTTCAACCTGATAACAGAATTCTTTTAGTTATTATACATGATCAATTATAATTATTTCATAAAAATAATATTTCTGACATGTGTACCTGTTCCTTAACAGCACCTAAATCTGTTTCAAATCCTTGATGCTTTCTCACTAAAGCTTGAATTGTTTCCAAATCATGACCATAACCATCAGAACTGAGGGCAGTTTCTTTTTCCTGAATCCAAGAAATAGTTTCGTCCGCTGTTCTATCGAACATATGTACCTGCTTTGCACCTGCCAGTGCATCTTGTCGTGCATGCGCTAATTCTTTTAGATCTTCCCATTGTTGCTTGGTCTCGTCAATTTTCATTAATATTTTAGTTTTCTCTGGATTATTTTCTTCTATTAATTTTTGTCCTTCATCAAGCAGTGCTGATACTCGACTTTCACTCATTGTTAAACCAGCCAAAAAATTGTCAAATATTTGAATAAGAAGCTCAACATGTTCTACATCGCGACCATAATCTTCCGAAGCAGCAACCTAGTATACATTTATTTTTATGCTTTAATACCAATATAATCAATATATAACATATATATAGTACTCTTTTTGTACGAAAGACTTACGGTTGTTTGGTCTCCAATCCATTCAATGACCTCGTCTGCTTGTCTAATGAATTTAAGGAACTTCTCACTCTCACGCAAGCGTTGGAATCGATATTCCTTCAATTTCTGCAATTCCTTGAATTTCTGTTCAATTTCCATTTGTTTTTGTGTAATATTCTTACTATCAAAATGATGTCTTTCTATCAATCCACGTGAAAGTTTCCTCAAATTTTCGATAATATTCTCAAAACCTATAAGATCTCGTTCTATCTCTTCTAATTTCTTCAATAATGATTGTACAGAATCTTCGTCTTTTCCATAATCTGTAGCAGCTAATTGTGGGTGTTTCTCTTTTATCCATTGTTCAGCTTCTGCTGCTTCCGCATAGAACTGAAAATATGAAAACTCTATAAAAACTTCCGTCTAATAAGTTAAATTAAATCTAGATTAATGGAATGATTATTACCATTTGTGATTCAACAGCATCGAGTAAACGTAGTTTTCTAACACTAGCTAAATCTCTGATATGTGACAGTTTATCTTGCAATTCTTGTGATAATTTTTCAATCTTTTCCGACGCAAAATGGCCGCTTCTAACCATAACAGTAGCTCTGCTAATCAAAGACGTTACTACTGGTTCTCTGGAAATTAATTCTGCTTCCAAAGCTTGATGTTTTTTTTGTAATCGTTGTACAGTGGTCAAAGAACTTCCTAAGTCATTGCTTGCAGCCAGAGGTTCCTTTTCTGATAACCAATGCAATTCATCTTCAACATCTCTTGCAAATTGATGCAGCAATTTAGCATCTTCCAAGTTATCCCTTCTTATTTGCATTGGTTCTTGCAAACTGTGATATCTATTTATTGTAACCGTTGCTCTTTCTTGTATCTCGTCACACATAAAATGATTAGACTTTTGAAAACTAGTTGCTGTTTCTTTAATTGATTCACAAGCTTCATTGTGACCTAGAACGTCATTTTCCAAATTTGTATGCCTTTTTAATAAGTTAGCGACACTAGATAAGTCTTTCCCATGGTCCTCTGATTGTACTTGAATTTCCACTTCGTCCATCCATGCCTCGAATTCGTCTAAAGTTCGTCCGAAGAGCAAAGCTTGATAAGCATCGTTTAGTCTGTTTTTCTTTAATTCACTGGTTTCTTGAAGTAGACGCCATTCTGCTTCTAATTCATCTAGGCGTTCTTGGATGCTATCTGATGCGTAATGGTTCTCCTCAATTAGTGCTTCACCTAATAAGGAAATTATGAAAAAAAAAAATAATTAATAAAAAGCTTAAAAATTAAAAAATATAATGTAATTCAAAACAAGGAAATTTTTAAACATCATTTAAATCTCTATAATACTCTACCTTCATTGACTACTGATGCTACTCTTCCTTTATTTGCCACTAATTCGCTTTCAAAAGCAGCATGCTTCTGAATTTTGCTTTGCAAGTTCGATGAATCTCTGTAGTTTTCATCACTGGCCACTTGTTGCTTTTGATGAAGCCACCCTTCAACTTCATATATATTTCTAAGAAATTGATGCAAATGATGACTCTCCAATAATTTTTTCCTCCGTGCTCTCGCACTATTTTGTAATTTATCTCTTCTAGTACAAACAGATGTTAATCGTTGTTTAATGACGTTAGCATCCGCGTGTTCTTTGGATAAAATATCAAAAGCAAATTTTTCTAGTTCCTCAATACGACCCAATTGAGAGACCAACATTTTCTCAAACTCTTCATGCTTACGTAACAATGCTTCTACGCCAGATAATGATTCACCGAGATCGTCGTTATTCAGGAATGCTTCTTTTGTTGCTAGCCAGCTGTCTGCTTGATCAGCCTGTTCCTTGAACAATTGCAATTGATGAGCTTGTGTTAATTTCTGTCTTCTAGTCTCCCAAGCATTGACCAATCCTAGTCTAAGCTCTTCTAAGTGTTCCAAACTATCCCTGATATCTTCATTAATAGCTAAAAGTTTTTGTCCATGTTCTTTCAAGGCTTTGAATGTATCTTGTCTGCCATCAATTTCTGCTTTCCTTTCTTGATGAAGTTCTAATAAAGCTTCGGCTTCAGATATCGTCGTTGGTGGATCAGATTCATCCATACGTTTAATGGTATCAGCCACCCAAAGTTCTAACTCATGTAAGTCAGCTTGGAATTTGTGCAAAGTATAAGCTTGATTTAAAGCCTCACGGCGATGTTGAGTAAGGCGTTGCAAATCATCCCAATTTGACTGTAATTCCGATAATATTCCATTTATTTGGGACGCCTTGTCTGGATATTTCAATGACAATTCTCTAGCCTCTACTTTATGTTCTTTCAATTTTCCTTCAATGGCGGTCATATCTCGCTCCATTGCTTCTTCCTTTCTTTGCAGATGTTCAACAGCAGGTAGATCTTTACCGACATCGGTAGTACTCATGGCAACTGATTTTTCAATGACTCTTTGACTGGTATCATCTATATCTCTATTAAACAAATGGATCTCCAAAGCTCCTGCTAGCGTTTCTCTGTAAGCACTCAATGCTCCTTGTAAACCTTTCCATTTGTTATTAAAATTGTCGCGACGTTGTTGAATAGCTTTTGATTCGTTGTCCCTACCCTGTTTGATTAATTTATCAGCTAGAGAATTAATAGTCTTTATTCTAGAATCATCTACTCTCATGTCACTGTCTACATCATCAAGCTTTCTCTGCAGACTTAAACAATGTTCATAATCCTTTCCAGTGTCTCCAGCCTGTACCATCATCTCTTTGTCTCTTATCCATGCCTCAATTTTCTCTACTTGATTATTAAATTCGAGAATATCCTGAGCTTCTTCCAAACCTCTACCACGATTTCCAGATTCTAATAACAATTTTCTCCAAGATGCATGAAGATGCTCCAATTGCTGTCGAATTTCAGCACTTGCTGGGTGCTTCTGTTGCAGCAATGTTTCTCCTTTGGCTTTGATCTCTTCGATTCTACTTTGATTTGCCGCCAATTCTGCTTGAAATGCTTGATGTTTCTGTAATTTCTTGATTTTATCTTCCAAACTCGACACTTCACCTTTCGATGCCTCAGCTTCGAGTTTTTTCTGCTTTTCACCAATCCAGGATTCAGCTTCTGCAACATCTCTTACAAATTGGGCATGCAACAAATCAGCTTCTAATCTCTTTTGTCGTGCATCACAAAGATTTCGAATTCTTGCTCGCCTTTGTACAACTTCACTTAATCGTCTGGCAATCGTAGGCGAATCGAAATGATTCTGAGCTAGAAGTTTATCTCCGTGTTCTTGTAAGGCATTTAGTTTTTCTTCTTGCGTCACTAACAGCTTTTCAAACTCATTATGTTTCTTTACTTGAGCATCCACTTCTTCAACAGAGTCGCCAAAATTGTCGCCACTCAGTGCAGCTTCTTGAGTACTTGACAAATTGTCCAACTGTTTAGCATCACGTAAGAAACAGTGCAGGTCTATTAATTGATCCAAATGTACTTTCTTCTGCTGCCAAGCAATGTATAATTTTTGTCTCTCATCTAATAGCTGATTGCATTTTTCTTCAACCTCTAAAGCAGCATAATGACCAGTTTGGACCATAGCTTCGCCCAAATCGAGAACTGAACTAAAGCTATCTTCTCGCGCCTCAATTTCTCCTTTCAAAGCTTTATGCTCTGTCTTTAAGATTTGTGCACTTGCTGCATCCCTCACTTTATCTTCTGTTGACATTGCAGCACGAAGTCCAGCAGCCCAATTCATCAAATCCCTCACTAGAGTAAAAAATCGTTGAAGATCACAACTTGCTTGTAACTGATCTCTTCTGTGAGCAGATCTCTCTTTTAATTCTTCCCAATGAGCAACAACGATCTGTTGCTGTTGATCAATCTGTATTGCGTTATTTCCCGGATAATGTGCTTGTAATCTAGATGCATCTTCAACCAAAACTTGGAGTTGAGCTTCCAAAGCAACTAGATCATTCTCAAAGCCTTCGTGACGTCTAATTAACGCAAGTACAGAATTTAAATCGCGTCCTAGGTCTTCTGGTAAAGCTGCTTCTTTTTCTTGTATACGAGATAAAGCTTCAGCTACATCCCGATGGAATCTATGAATTTCTCCGGCTGCTTGTAACCTTTGCTCACGATTTCGGATGAGACCCAGAAGATGTTGCCAAGATTCCCTAATAGATTACAAAAGATATTCATAATTTTATTATTCAAATATTCTTAGTGATTTATTTACTTTTAATAGGATTATAAAACGTGCTTTAATATTTACACTGTACCATGATACAAAATTCACCAACGTATACTTACTCGATATGAGCATGCCGTTTCTGCACTTGACTTACAGGATCATCATCGTCTAGTCTGCGTTAAATATATGTACAAAAATTCTGTTAGTAACCCGACACCGATATAATCATACCCATAATTCTATTATCTTTTTATAAACATACTAAAATTATATTAACTAATCATTACCAAAAGCAGTGCTAGTATGAATACTAAATTTAAAAGAGTGCACATGCATTTAGTGAAATTAAAAATTCCATATGACTTACACCAAAAATCTAAATCTATATTATACAAATCAACGAAATGAAGTTATATATTAAACTTACCCTAATTGTTCTTGTCGCTTCTCAATATCATGAATATAAGGGCTTTCATTAGCAATCAATTTCCTGGCTAACTCTTCACATTGATTAAATCTTTCAGAACCAGCCTCTATTCTGTGTTTAAAGTCATTAAACTTGGCTTGCAATATCAATAAGTGTTCATAATCCTGGCCATAGTCTTCAGAGGCGGCCGCTTGTTCTTGTTCTTTGATCCACTGTTCTAATTCTCTACTTTCTAAAAAGTATTCGTGGCGATACATGCTCTCCATCAAACGTTGTTGTCTTACTGTAGCCAATCTTTGCAGTGCCCGCATTTGTTGGGCGATTGCTTGTTGTTTATTTGCTATGGATTTGCTATCAGGATGTTTCGCATTAATCATAGTCGCAGCAGTGTGTCCCATCTCTGTTACGATGCCATTGTAAGTATCTAACTCTAACTCTACCGCCTGAAAAATTAAATACTTTTAAGTAAAATGACGGAACATCATCATTTCATACATGATTAAAGTAAAAATCAACCTTGTGCTTTGTTAACAATTTCGTAGCGGCATCGCGATCTCTGCCATAATCGGTAGAACTGAGAACATCATTCTTTTCATTCAACCAACTTTCAACTTCCCCTGCTTCGAAGAAAAATTCCTGTGCTTTTAGAGATAAGTCTAAAGCTTTACTTCGTTCTCCGGCCCTTTCTTGTAAATCCCTCCATGCTTCGTCGAGCACATCACACAATTCTCGTATCTATACAGAAATAAAATCTTTAAGTATGATTTTAATACAATTTTTTAATCAATTATATTAAAAACATAAAATTACACCAACAAACATAACATATAAATATTTTATCAGTATATAAAAGTACATAAAATAAAATTTTGTTAATATTTAAAAAAATAAAATATTTTAAAACATAATGAAATAATAAAATAATATATCGTGTAAAAAATATATTTTATTGCTGAAATAAATTACGTAAGACAAGCACATGCATGCTGTAAAATTTTGTATCTTTTATTTGAAAAATATATCTAAAATATATCTTTTTTTAATATGACTTAATTACATAATATTAATCTTCTGATTTCGATGTCTATTTAGCGAACGATATCGTTACTTTTTAAACAAAACAACGCTATCCATGCATTTGTGCCGACCTTACCTCTGCAGACCCAATATTCTTGTAATAGTCCCAACTGTGCAAAAATTACAAATTTTTATTCCAAATTCATTAAGTATTAAACAAATAACTATAACAGGGAAAATATAGACATCTGTTTTCCCTGTAAAGCTTTTCAAATTATATTTTTGTTACGTATATATTATTACCTTCTTTTTCTCTGGATGAGCCTGATCAATCAAAGTCTGTCCAGAAGCTAAAGTTTTGTCTATCATCGGTTGGTGTCCAGCAATTTCTGCTTCCAATTTTTTGTGCTTTTTATGCAATGTTTGTGCTTGATGCAGATTTTGTCCGAGAGTTGTCGACGATGTCTGAGGGAGATGATCTTTTATCCACTGTAATTCGGCATCCAATTCGAAACCAAATTTGTGGAATCGTAGGCTCTCTTCTAATGCTTCTCGTCTCCTCTTGGCTGGTTCTTTCAAGCTACGGAACCTATTAAAAAATAAGGGAAAAAGTTTTAATAATTAATCATTTTTAATACTACCTTTTATGATATTTAAAAAATATACATTAATACTTACTTCCTTTGCGTCGCTTGACTGGCTTTCAATATATTCGCGGCATCAAAGTGACCTTCATGAGCCATTTCTTCGCCCATGGCAACTAGGTCATCCACTTTTTGCTCCCACTGACCCATATCGCTCTCAAGCGTTTGATGCTTTTTCAACAGCTCCTTGCAACTCCTAAGATCCACTCCTACCTGTTTGCTTTGTAGAGAACTTTCTATTTCTTCCAATTTTAATCTGGCGTCTTCCATTGTTCGGTTGTAGCCATGTTGGCAAGCAGCTTGTCTCAATCTGCGACCTTTTTCTAAAGACAAAGCAACCAATCGATCCCACTGATCATTTAATTCTTTCAAAGTTCTTCCTACGTCGTCTGATCTATAGTTTTCTTCAGATATTAAAGCTTTCCCAGCTTTATTCACTGCCCTTAATTGCCCTTCATTAGCTCTTAATTCTCTTTCAAACGCTTCGTGCTTCTGAAGCTTTCGTTCAAGATTATTTAAATCTCGGTAGCTTTCATCAGATGCTGTCTTCATCTTGTCACCTAACCAATCTCGTAAGTCATCCACCTCTGCTGAAAATTGTTGATAGTGCTCTGAGGCTTTCAGGGCTGCTCGACGACGTTGTGCAGCGTCTTTAACTTGGTTTCTTCGAGCTAAGACTTGATTCCTTCTATCGTTAATGCTGTAAATAATATTTTGTATCATCACTACCCTTATATCACTATTACCAATAAACAAATAAATTTGTATAATATAAAAAACAAACTCACTAATCTTTGTCATAATGGTTTTGAGCGATCAACTTGTCTGCAGTGTCACTAAACGCTTTCAATCTATCATCTTGTGCGTGAAGTGTGTTCTCAAACTTCTCATGCTGTTTTAACAGACCCTCAACATCATCCAGAGACTCTCCTAACTCAGTAAACTCTAGGAATGCTTCATGAGAGCTAGTGGTAGCTTCAATTTGATCAGCTTCTCGATTAAACTGCTGTAGTTCTAGGCATTGTTGCAGCCAGGCTTCTTTTGCCATCCAATCTGATGTTACAGCTTGGTACAAACCATGTAACTTATCTAACCGTTCACCCACATCCACCAGTGCTGGATTTCGATGTAATAATTGGTTTCCAAGTTCTTCAACCTCTCGAAATCTGTTGAGATAAAACTTGTTTATATATCTATGTAAATTAATTTAAAAAAATAATATGAGAGATTTAAATACTTACTCATCTTCTTGAGTTCTTATATCTTCTCCAAGCTCCATATGGTGTTTTCTAAGTTGTTCAGCTGTTGTAACATCCCTAACAGGTTCCTCGACTTTCATCGTTTCTTGCATATCTGCAGCCCAATTAATTAAATTTTTTGAGCTATTCATGAAAATCTGTTGTCCCACAGCATCTTCTAATCTGGATCTACGTTCTTTAGCCTTTGTCTGAACTTGATTCCAAAGTTCTTTGATTTCATTTTGTCTGGCATTCACGTTGTTTAATTCGTGCGGATAAGAACTTTTCACACTATTTGCTAACAAGTTCACTTTCCGTACTTTTTCTTCGACTGGTGCAAGCTCCCTTTCCAAGTGTTGGTGTCTTCTCTGTAGAGCTTGCACTGTTTTAAGGTCTGGTCCAAGTTCTGCAGTATCCAATTGCGTAATTTTTTCCAACATCCAATCGTGAGCTTCATCACAAGTTCTGTTAAATAATTCCACGCTGGAAGCTCCTTCCAGGCTCTTTTCTTTTTGTGTTTTTAACCGGTTTAAGTGGTCCCATAGTTGATGAATATACCTCTGCCTAGCCTTGACTTTATCCAATTGACTATGTCCTTGTCTGACGAATTCATCAACGGCAGCATCTATAGCTTCTACTCGTTTTCCTGACGCTGAAAGATCCGTAAGAAATTTTTCGTATTTTCTTTTAGCAGTTTCAACATTGTCACGTGGATCATCAGCTCTCAACATCTTTTCCTTATCTTTAATCCACTTTTCAAAGTCATCACACTCCCGATAGAAGCCATAAAGTCTTATAGCATCCTCTAACAATGCATGTCGCTTTAATGCCAATTCCTGAAGCTCACTGTAAGTGTCATTGATCTTTTTCTGTCGTTTTTCCACACTATCTCCGTCAGAAGCCGTCTTTCTTTTAACTGGTTTAACTGTTGACTTTATAGACTTCACTCTTCTCACGGGAACTAACTGTTTAACCATTTTCGTTTTCTTTACTCTCTGCGTTACCCTAACTTTTTCCGGCCTTCGGACCTGAACTTGTATCACTTTGGGTTCTAATTCAGTAACATATCTTGCTGGCACAAACCCATCGGTGCCATCTGCTTTTCTGACACTCCACCAGTCAGAATTTGTTTTATTTATTAGAAACATTACTTCGCCCCTTACCATGCGTATATCTTGACCACTGAATGCGTATAAACTCTTTACTTGGGACACCAATCTGTCTTCAAGAACTGTTCTAGGTTCTAGTCTTTCTACAACTTCGTCTACCCACTCATCCTGAGGAACTAGTCTTATTTCTTTACCTAAAACAAGAAAAAAATATTTTTTTAATTTTTTTCATAAAAAAGTAATTAATATTTTGTTTCTTTTTTTTATGAAAATATAAAAACTCACTCCATTCTTCTTGTTCCAATTCTGCGACAGGTTCCGGATCGGCAGACAATTCAAGGGTAGAAATTCCAGATTTAATAAGTTTCTCAGCTTGCATGTTTAATGACTGTACATCGCCCTTATATGCATTCAGTTCCCCTTCCAAATCCTTATGTCTTTGAAGAAGCGCTTGGGCACTGGGTTCGTCAACGCCATAATCTTTTGAGGCCACAAGTGCCATCTTCTCATTCATCCAGGAATCCGCCTCATTTGCATCTGCATAAAATTGAAAAGCTTCTGCTGCATCATCTAACTGTTTCTTTCTGAGAGCTGCTAACTCTTCCAAGACCTTCCAATGTTCTTGTAACGAATCAATGCGATTTTGAATTTCCAAAGCTGAAGGATGATTATCAGCTATTAACTTTCTACCAGCATCGCAAAGCTGTTCAGATTTTGGCCTCCGTACTTTCATTTCATCCTGAAGAGCTTTATGTTTTTGTTGCAACGAAATTACAGCACGAAGATCCTTGGCCGATATTCCAGCTTTGCAAATGCGCTGTTTCTCGATCAACCAAGATTCTTCATCTTCGTGATCTTGAAGGAAATGGAAGAAATTCCTGGCGTCTTCTAGACGAGCCTTACGTTCTTTGCTGTATTCTACTAGGTCATCATAAGCTCGATTCAACATTTCTAATTTTTGTTGCAGCAAAGATACTTCTTTACTCTGGGGTTGTGCTAAATGTTGAGCTGCTTGTCTACCCAATCTTCTTTGGGTTTCTCCAAGAGCTGTTACTTGTAGTTCTTGTAAACTGTGTTTCTGTAATAAATCTTCAACACCCAATAAATGTGGACCAACATCGGTACTCTGGAAGTTTAGTTGTAACTCTTGAATAGAAGCCAAAGTAGTGTCAATCTCTCGCATAAGACTCATAAGAGAACTTAAGGCAACTAAGTTAGATTTGTGATGGTCAAGGAGAGCCAAAAGCTCCTTCCACCTTTGGAGTACTTCCTGTTCTCTAATTTGTACTCTTTCTAATCCGTGATAATTTTCTCTTACTAATTCCTCTGACATGTTAGTCAAATCGTGGAAGCGTTCTTCCCGAGCGAGTATATCTGCACTAATAGCTTCATGTTTCTTTACTGTAGCATCTACTTGGGCCAAATTACTACCGTATCTAGGATCCGTTAGAACTTGGATCATTTCTTTCAAATAGCCTTCTCTTAGTACACTTTTTCGTTCAAATTTATAATTCAACTGCTCTAGTCTTTCTTGTCTAAGAAGTTCAGTTCTGAGAGCGACTTCTCGACGATGTTCAGCTCGTTCTAACTCTACCCAATTTCTTTCTATATCGTGTACTAATTGACCCTCTTGGGGTGTGAATGCAGGTTGATTCAAGGATTTTAATTGTGTATTTATATGGAAATACAAAGCCTCTATTTCTGATCGTTCTTTATATTTTGGTGGTTTCTCCACCGTTCGGTATTGCTTAAAAGTTAACAACTCCTTCTGAATGCCCTCTAAGGAATTGGGGAAGTCCCTATTTTCCAGAACCCCTATTTGCATTTTGATCCATTCTAATAAGTCTGTTGTTAGCTTTTCGTAATGGATCTTCATTTTATCAGCGTCCATCATCTGCCCCACGATCTAAAAACATTAAAATTGATTTCTTAATAACTATATTAATAAACTTAATAGGTATAATATTAAAATTTACTTACATTCGCAATTCTCTTCCCACTCTTGATCTCGTTTTTCATCCTGGCGAAGGTGTGGTAGTAAGAAGCGACGTAAGTGATGATGGATTTTTCGTCAGGTCGGGCAGTGTCAACATCTTCCGCATCCAATAATCGTGGAATTCCAAGTTCTGAATTGGCCACGTCAAAGGCATAATTAAGATTATCAATATTTTTGTTCTGCTGCAATTCTGACCAATTAACGAGATCTGGCCTGTGAGCGTGGATAAGAGCATTGAAACCAAGGCCACTTCTCCATGATCCTATAATCAATCACACTCGTTCATTAATATAAATAGTAAACTAATTTTATAATTAATACTAAATACAAAATACTGCATTTACCAGTGAAATCTTGGATATTAACACTAGGGTACCCATTAGTCTTTCTTTGACACCAGAGTAGCAAAGCATCTTTGGCTGATTTCTTTTCACTGCTATCATTTTCTTCATCCACATCAATCTCAATCTCTTGAATTTGGAATCTTAAGATGATAGTCCAAATTAAACCCAATATCAACCTTGGATTTCCATCTACTATATCCTCTGCGCCTATACTTTCCAGACGAACCTGAACATCAAAATAAATCAATCAACATTATGAACATAAGCTTCTCATACATAAATTATAATTTCTTTAATTAATCATACAACCTACTCCTATAATTTTCCCTACCAATTTTATTTCATATTCCCCTTTCTAAACTTCATGAAAGCTTCCAATCAGGTGAATGCAACCGTATAATGCACTCACAGAATTTATGAGAAGGGATCGGTAGACTTATGGCATGATGATATTCGCATTCCAGTATGCATGTGTGTGCATGTGTGTGTGCGTGCGCGTGAGCGCGCGCGCTGAAGTAAAAGAGTGGAATGCACGTTGGCTATTGGCATCGTGTGTATTGCGTAAACAGTGGGCCTTAATAGGCGTCTGTGCACGAGCATCTTACTATGATAAAACGCACATACAGTCGCATTGCGTCATGTGAAAAGTAACAACTGCTAGACGGCCTTGAGTACAACACATTATGATAATGCGCTTATTGAAAATAAGAAGCTAGATGCATGATACCGGGTCATCCACTTCTGGCTGTCACAAACTTTCGAAAGTAGACATGACCAGTTGAATAATAAATTACTTTCAATTTTAACAATTGAAGATCTCTGAAGAGGAACAAGAAAATCCAGTTAAATATGAGTCATTTTAAATATTTAATCTAAGCACCGCCATTTTCATAGGCAATGGTTCATGGAGTGTACAATAATAACGATTTTATTATGGTATCGTAAGTATTGGATAATTTCTCATTAATCTTGGGTTAATAGTTACGTAGGTATTCCATAGGCGTAAAGAATAATATATTCCAGTTTAATGAAAAGTGCATAAGAAATTATTTCTTACGTAGCTAGCTTTATCTTCTACAATGAAGTTGTAGTTGTATTTCGACATCAACTTATCACATCATTGATTTCTCTGATACGTTCGATCGAGTGTTATGAACGACGATCAGGGCCTGGAAGAAATGCTCGTGGGCCAACAAACGGCTCGACTACGTTATTATACTTAATCGCGGTGTGCGCCCGAAGCGCGACGTTCTCGCGATTGCTGGAATGCCGTCCGATCACTTGTGCCGGTCTATCAAGGCCGTTGGGAAATGAAAATCGTTTCTTTCTGGTCGATTGACATCTTGTGGAATCCAAAAGATGCGAAACATAAGTATTTACGCGAACAAAAAGCCATCGATAGTAGGTAAACACGAGGCAGTGTAAAAATAAAACGCATCCTGGAAATGAAACCCGGCATACTGAGGTGCAACCTGTGTGTAACTGTTCGTAATAAAATGGAATTTCGCAAATATGAATCGAATTGTACATTCAACTTGTGTCGGTGAATTGGGTCGTTCACTTCTGGTTCGGTCGGTAATATACCCACGTTCCATAATTTCACGAATAACCAATGAATATTTAATTACATATTTGAAAATGTAATACTGCATTTTTTAATGTTTTACTACATGTTTTACTACATCATCTTTTACAGGAAGTTGTAAAATTAAAATTTAAAATTCAGCAACATATTAATTATTTTTATTAATGCGGAAAAAATTCTTAAAGAAATTATAAAGAAGGTGAATGAAAACACAAGACCGTGTACTACGTGATCATTCTCATTCCCATGCGGATGTTATTCATTATTTTAAATATAAGGCTTATATTTCATTTAATTAATAACGTTGTGGACAAGCGTTCGCTTTAAGCACCTCGTAGATCGATATAAACCACGTGTTAAAATCAATCATACATTCACGAGTACAATGATTAACCTGCGGTGAGTAAACAAATATTTGCACGATGCGCATTACACGGTAGGGCAAATACGCTACTTCCTGTCGCGTAATTTGTAACCGTGGCGCTCGCGTCGCATGTGTAACGATCGATGTGATCGCTCGATAATAACAGATCCGAGAATCTACATAATAGCCAACGGAGCAGGCGTTAGCTACGTCACAGTGCCGTTTATCATTTTTACTCCCTAATGTATCATCAGAGCACTGAACGACGTGAATGTTCTACAAGATCGGGATTAATAGAAGGATAACTGGGTAAGGTGCCATTAACAACAATGGTTACGATTCTTGCACGCGAAGTGTAAGATATAATAGTAATTTTACTTCATCTCTTTTCACTTTACATAATTGCCAGATTTATGTGTCTAACTGAATAAGAGAGCTATAATCTAAACATACTTCAAGATAATCCTAACCTCACCAATTCAGAAGGTGAAGCATTTAACAAATTGAGGTTAGCTTAAATTAATTTTAATTATGAAAATTCTAAATTCTTTGGAAGAAGCTAAACTAAATAATAAAATTGACAACTCCTATCCCTAGGACACTTCAACTGCAGCCTTTCTACGTTCAACATAACCAACTCCATCCACCGTTTCACGTCACGATACAGTTACCCTTGCTTGCTCACGATACAGATCATTTCACTTAACGCATTTGAACCACTCCCCGACGTGCCACAGTTCGAGTTGGTGAGCTGGACGAACTCAATTGAAGGAGCCAACAACCGCCACACGGTAACATTTTGGATGGTCATTCAGATAACGATTATCTTTATGCCTGTATTTCGCTACAATTTTGCCGATACGTTCGTTAACCTGGCTGTAGGAAGATCGACCGTCGAATTTCCAGCCAGCCAAACTACATACGATCACGTTATAAGAGGCCGCAGTATCAGCGTATGGCGTATGAATAATGAATGAGTCTCGGACTGCATAGTAAGACTGAGAATACGGTACTGTTACATCCAGCGAAAAGGTGGGGTTGCACAGTTAAAACTCGTGCAACGAGACTGCCGGCCAATAAGCAGGCATAAAGGCGACGGCGTTAAATAACCGGTACTCGTTCCATCGGCCGATTGCTTTTTGTTGTAGGCCACAGCACGTCAGCTCGAGTACCACTCTTCCGACCAGTGAAACGGCTAATGTTCTTGCTTTTTTCTTGCCTTCTCCTTTCTGTTTTCTTTCTTCTTCGTCTTATCTTTTTATTTCGATTCTTTTACTTTTCGTTGAATTCGATCGAATCAAGAATCGAAGGGACGTTCGATGGAAATATTCTTTGACAGGGGATTCGATTGTGTTGGATCTGTTTCGTGTATATGTAAAATGTGAGGCGTGTTCGGGGAATTGGTAAGAAACGTGGAAACAGGAGGGTATCTTATCACAGAATTATGACAAATAGATGTGTTTTGCAGAATTTTGAATTTCTGGTTAAGTTTCTGTAGATCAGAATGTGAATTTTATCGCTTTCATCAAAAATAATTTAAATTACAGGAATCGATACAAATTGCTGGATTATGAATCTAAAAAGGATGCAATTTTTGCGGAGTTCTTGAATCAGACACATTATGATTTCATTAAAATCTGCAAGAAGGTATTTAATTTAATTCTAAATAAACATATGTGTAGTTATGGTTATCACTATATTCCTTTTTAGTTATACTTATTTAACTTGAGATTGGGAGATAATTTATTACTAACTCTATTAAATTTGATTCCATTTGCACTCTAGCTCTCTCTCAACGTATGTGATTAATATGACGACATTTCAAAGGACTTGCGCACCGCCATGAAATGCGTTTATCGTAAGTCGATAAATTAATTTTCAAGATCGATATCGCGTGCATTTAACGTCCGCCATAAACTATCGAATCTCGCACAGTGAACTAGTTTCAACAACCAGGTAATAAGCATAGATCGATTAATTCGCAGAATCCTTTCCTGTAACTTTACGCATCATTTTCTTGTTAGACAGGTTACCCAGGCCATCCTGCTTGAATATGAGAGTCGACGTCCTTAAACGCATCGTATGCCTCGTAACACTCATCCGATTATCCGTTCATTCATTTCGCTTAATTGCGCACACCGTTATCAAGCTGCATTTAATCTGAACATCCGTGGAATGCTATCCCAAGTTGTTTTATAAAAAGAGAAGTTTATTCGAATATAGACCACGTTATGATAATGTGCGAGTGAATATGTGGGTAACTGTGCTTGAAGAGACAAGTGAGGTTAGTTACGCAGCACGCAAAACGAGATGTTGAGTCAGAGGTTAAAATTGTAATAACAAATGAAGGTTATCGACAGTAATTAAAACAAAATTCACTTGGAGGTAGATAATATTTCATTACGTTGATTTTCATATTTTTCAATTTTGCTAATCACGGTATTTTCAGATCAGTCACGCAAGGAATTTTTTACATTTTTGGAATTAATAAGTATGTCATTTTCACTTGAGCCATTTATTTCTCTCCGATTTCCGATGATTTAATCGTTAATGAAGGCACAAGATTAATATCATTAAGGTTACTGTAAACAACGGGGTCCACGGTTTCCGCGAAGCCAATGGAATGGGACTAGGCATTCTTAATGCATTTAGCGTGGAATGTGACTCCTACGTTCACTAGATCGACCGACACTACGCTACAACTCGCCTGCGAAGGCTCGTTTCAACGGACGTTAACTGGCTACAATGTGACCCGCTACAATGTAGCCTTTAAGAGTACAAAACTGAGCCTCGTAACTGGCGATACGATCGTTATTTAATAATTTACAGCTGGGTGGTCTACTTATATGTAAGTCGTGCAAGTCAAGATGAAAATCGATTACAGGTTTTACAAGGGCTCCATGTTTGGTGAAAAGGGTAGTAGGTTAATTGGGGTGAGAAGGATCACAAACTGGTTATGGAAAAAGAAATTGTGATCTGATTGCGATATGCTAATTGACAAATGACTCTGATGGAAGTGATCACAATATAATTCTGAAAGGCTGAAGAATAATCGGACTTTAAGCAAAGTAATCACAGATATATCGTGACATACTAATATGTTTGCAATGTAATTTTAATGGAACAGTTAACATAACACACTCGAGCACAGTATAATGGAATTTTGTCATAAAAACACACTGAACTGAAAGGAGACTCGTACTATACACAAAATTCTGTTGAAAACCCTTAAGCTCAAGTAAAGACAGATTCTACGAAAAATAGGAAAATGGTCCAGGAAACCTAATCGTGACGACTCGAGTCCGGATTACTCGGAATGTTCAACAGTATAGGTTTAACGGTAAAAGCGGATAAGCGGCTCATCCGTTGGGTTGTACGATTCCTTAAATGATGACGAAACGTCGGGAATCTTTCTTGGTGCACCGCGTGTGCACGGTCACGATCAGGAATGTCCTTTTGCGAGCTGACGTTCGCGTGCCTTCGATCCACATTCCGCAGTCCTGCCAAGAATGCGCGTCACCAGTTGTAAACGATGCCGTAGGAAAACCGCTATGCGGCCCGACTTAAACAGACTTGCAAACAAGAAGAGAAGAAATAGGAAGGAAAGGTCTAGTGGATGAAAATTGCTAGTGAATTTAAAACATGCTGCCCTCTTTAGTCCCTCTTCTTCGACGGCGGTGATTGAGTATGATCGTTTTCACTTAGATGGCGCTAATTCAGCACAATCATTTCTCTTGGAATGGAGCCGTGAGGTTACAACGGATAATCCTAGTAAGATGATAGAGGATTCCTCTGAGGGCACTGTCAAATACAATTTGTGTTTCTACGTCACGAATGATTGCGTGCAAAATATGAAGTATTTTATATATTTTTTGCAGAGGCAATTGTCGATGAGATCTTTGATTCAAAGTATGACTAATTAAACAAGTAAAAAGAGAAGGCTGGAATACAGAATATCTTGAAAGAAACAAAAGAAGGTGTACGATGAAAAAAGGTTCCTAAAAGCCGCGCAGGTAGAAATTATTATGGGCTACTAATCATCATGACGACATCTGGTTTCTCGTTAATAAAGATATTTCGATTCTGTCCGACAAAATACGTTCCAACTAACGAGCGTGTCTTTCTTATCAATTTTAACGGCACACACCGGTCATAATAGCTGGACATAACTTGGGGTCCGCGTCGCTTTAATATCGCAGCATCGAAACGTCAATAAATGGATTTTATTGCACGAGACACCATGAATAAGTGAAATTCATGCTTCTTCCGAGTCACCAGCCTACTAAATGTGAAACTTATCTCTCAAGCAACATAATTAACTTACGCATACTTATTTTTTCATTTTATTTTTGCAGCAAACAAAATGTCCCAAAAATATTATAAACTATATTTATTCTTATGTGAACCTTTAAATGGAAATGAACTTACTAATGATTTAATGCATGCACGAGTACAAAGATTGGAATTAGTGAAGTATTTTTGATAACTTACATCACTTACAATTACTGGTAAAAATAAGGATTGTTATGCTAATGAAACACTTGTGTAATTACCTTAATCATTAGCTACGTAATCTCCTTATCCGCCATCTTGTGTCACACTGACCATTCCAAACCAAATAAAAATGGAGACATGGTAAACCACAAGTCACAACAATACTATAGAGAGCTCGCTATTGCAGAAATACCTTGTATGGTTATAGAGCACAAGGTTGATCGAAGAGCCTTCAACAATACCCAGAGGATACATCACGATGAAATGAATAAATCAACTTTCGTAATGATGAACCTACCGAGGAACGCTATCCCAGTCCCTAACCAGCAATTCCGCAACATTTCGTTCCTGACCAATGGCAATGCAACAAATTGAAGATGATACTGCTATAGCGGACTTAAAATGAAGATGATTTTCTTCTTGAAAACTTCAAAGTCTATCCAGCTTAGCCACGGGTTTAAAAGTTATTATTAAAGATTACTATTAAATAGAAAGAAGAGGCAAAAATTGAAATACACATTTACGGTATTCTTTTACAGAATTGGCTTTCGATATTACTCATCGCCGTGCATTTTACAAGTTAGTATTTGCCACGGTACGAAACCGTTGAAAAATTGTAAACTGCCTGAGTGTTTTAGAGGTTATGTCCAAGAAGCGTAATTTCATTGCAACGGGATATGAAACAGTATCGAACAACGCATCGAACAGCTGGCCAACGATAACCGAACGAGAAATTTAGCGACGAGGTAGATATTTGTTAGGAGGTTGGGGCCGCGTCCTTTCGGTTTTACGATCGTTTCGCGATGTTGATGGCCCACTGGCCATTTCGTGAGTAGCTGTCTCGTGATTTCTACGAGGGAACTACTCTGGCAGAATCGTAAATATAGGGAAACTGCCATAGCAAGGGCGAAACGGAAAAGAGTGTACAGGGCGTTTTAGAATCATGACCACTTATTTATCTACCTACATTAACGTTCCTTTGTCTTCTAGTCATGTATTCGCTATTGTTTGTACTTCTTTGTACTTTTAAAACATCTTAGCATCTCCCCATGTTTGAAACACCCTGTACAACGAATGATAGATATACGATCACGATCACGATGCAACGCCGATAATTTCTTGTAAATCGAGTATCTAATTTTTACACAGCATGTATGATATTCTTATATATAACTTTTGAAACGCCCTGTAGAATTTAACCCCTGTGCACCGCCAATGCGATTCAACGTTTGATTCTTGGAACGTACCATGTATGTTATATTTCTAAGCAGATTGCAAGCGATATGGATAATACTTCTGAATCACCCTGTACATTTTCGTGCAATCCCGTGTGACCAGAATTTTGTAGCATCTTGTACTGCTTTCTCTGGCGGGTGCTAAAAAGAGAAACCTGGGAAATGCATACGAGGTCACCGGCATAAAATCGTGGTTAACTTAAAAACCGAATATTTATGAACCCCGTCGGCCATTAATACCGATTGTTTATAGGGCAATGCGTACACGCGAAGGAACCGTGGACGTAACCTCGAATTATCGAATTATTATTCAATCTAACGCCAATCTTAATTTTTAATCACCGCCTCGAGGATATTTTACTCGCCTGCGTTACGAATGTATTCGACACGGGAATTTTTGTCAAGAAATAAATCGTACCGTACTCGAGGAGCGCATTGTACACCGGATACATCACGGTATGCCGGAAGAGGACGAGTTCCAACGATAATTGTTTTCACCGTAAAATCGAACATGACTCACGATCAAGTCACGCATCCTACGTGAATCCTGCAATTCATTATACAATTACCAGTGACATCATCAATTTCGTTTCCAAAAAGCACAGAGGCTTCTTTCAAGCGCTCAATCAAGACTTTCGACGAACTCGAATCATCGTCGAAAATAAAGCAGCGTGCTCAGACTCGTGCCTCGATTCATTCACAAGTAACTGCACAAAATTTCTCGCAAATTATTATTCCGATCTTTGTACCGTGTCCCCATTCCAATTACTCCAGCGACATTAACTCGCCTACTGATAACACCCGATCGTTCCAATTAATTGTTTATCGGATTCGTGTCTTATCGCGGTCTCGAAACGAAGGTTATCGTACGGTTATTCGGATTATTTTCCTCTCGCCATTTTTAAATATGTAACCCGCGACGCGCTCGCTCCGATTCTTAGCTCCTTTCACGATAATTACTGAGAAATGCAAGTCACACGTTTCCGACCTGTACTTTCACCGAAACTTTTTATCCGATCCTTTCAACGAGCATTAACGATGTATACATTGAAAAATATAAACAAATTGTTCCGACCTGTTTCTCGTTGGTTAGGTTAAGTAGCGTGAATTTGACTAGTTCTTTAGCAAGATGGCGTAACTAGCACGGTATTACGGATAGACGGAGTGAACGGTGGAGGAAGGAGCATGGAAGAAAATTTATTACAAATGAAACGTGTATACATTTACTCGCTTCTGTAATTGCGATTTCAACCTAAACGAACCACTGTTTCCTTGGAAACAACGGGTTATTAAATCTACGCTAGTTCTCGGATGGTAACTTATCAACGAAAAATCCCTAGCGCCTAAATATTTATTCCATCAACTAGTACAAAGTTTCTGACTTAAAGTATGTTCCAAGAAATCACTGAATCAAAGTTTAATCATCAATAAATGATCCCTAAATCATTGTCATACATGCATAATGAAAAATCCCTAAAACCAACTTCCGAAATTAATCCCCAGATTTATTTGTAACATCAACCAGTAGTAATATCTTTCCCTTTGTGCTTTTCGTGTAAAATAAGCAACTGAAACGATAAGCCTGATCGAAGCACGTATTCCGTGAGAGAAATATCAGGGAAGAAGTGTCATTGAGTGTTCACAGGCAGTCAGAGGCGTCGATCCAAAGTGTGGACAGGCTTGTATGAGCGGTTGTTCGTGGCGGAACAGCGTCTAACGTGAAATGATCAGCACACGAGCAACGTATGTGCCGTCTGGTTTCATTTCACATCTGCGGGACTCACGGTCTAGCAAGTTTCGCCACGGTCGCTGACCTTTCTTTCTCTCTCTCTCTCTCCTTGTCTCTTCGTTTCGCTCCTTTGATCCTGCCTCCATTCTGTTCCTCTTCTTCCCTTCTCTGTCTTTGATTGTACCCTTCGATTTCGATCCCTTTCGTTTGTTCCCTGGGAAGCCCTTCTATTGGAACTGGGAATCGATTCTTCTCGAAGGCCGTTGTGAATAAGCTTGAGGATTCATGTATACCTTGCCTTTTTCTTCATTTTTCTCGGTCCGGATTCTTCTTCAAGGTTCTCCAGGCTGGAAGGGATTTCTCAGGAATTTGTCTGGAATTAGGAATTGAACAAGTTTTATTCCTTCTGACCTGTGAAGGATTTGCTTCGGAACACGGATGAACACGGAGCATAGACGATGTCTTCGGGCTGATTATCGTGGTAATATTTAATAAACGTTCGTTCGTTGCTGTTACGTGGGTGCCTCCTTCGCCATTGTGTAGACTCGATGTTTTTCTTGCGAATATATCTCCTCATCGATCCTCTTTCACTTTCTTCTTCGCCGCTCCCTCTCCCTTTTTCTTTGCCTTTGCTGCACAACAGTCTCTTCACTTTCTTTTTCCCTCGCTGTTCCTTCTATGGCCCTACCCTAAAGGAGTTCGCTTTCATCTTCGTCATTTTTATTCTACATCGAATATTCCACCCTATTCCTCACGATCCTTTAGCATTTAGCGTTTTCTTGTGCACTGTTCTTGTTCAAGTCCTCGTGACTCTCCAATACTTTGGCATTACACTATTCCAATTCTCCAATATTCCAATACCTCGATGTCTTAGTGATAGAAAATTTCAGTATTCCATTATCGTACGAATAGGAAACTCTAAGGTTGCAGGATTTCAATTTTTCAACACTGCAATCCTAATACCTAGTATCCTGATGCCTCAGAGACCCCAAATTAGAATGTTGCAGTACTCGAATGATCCAGTATCCGAACACTATAAGGCATAAATACCCTATTCATGAAGCACTTAACGTCACGTTTTACGAGCATTTTAGAACGGAAATTACTAGCAGCCCCAAAATTCCCCTATACCTCACACTATACCTAGGCCGATCCTTCGCCGCATTAGCACAGAAAGATATTACCCTCGTACGTGTGGCTGCTTTAGGTTGCAAGGGGACTGTGGTTTCTCGGAATGGCCCAAGGATACCTCCCTAATTACTGTCGGCTCGGATTCTTTCGGTCATGGGAACAGCCCCTAGCGAGAGCCATCTACAGTTTAGACGCAGTTATCTTGTCAGAGCCTTGGAAACATAGTTACAGAATGTTGCTCGAGGTTAACATTATCCTAACCTTGCAACGTAACATTCGCCACTTCCTCTTTACCACCATATTCAGCGTTACCAATCTTCGAGATCAGCTTCTTGCATCTCCATAAATAAATTCTACCGAATCGTTAGGTCATCTCTTACCATAAATTTTTCTTGATAGAATGATCTACGTGTGCACGAGCCGATTGATCATGGTTAAAAATAATAGTTACAATACCTCTATGATTTGTCAAGAAACAATGTACGTATTTGCATGGTACAGGCTGATTTTCTCAGCAACGAAGCTTGCAATCAAAAAATTTTATTTTCCTTTTTCGATCTGTCTTTTCATGTAGAATCCCCCACCTCGGTTGTACTACCGTTGCTGGGTCACTTTGTATATTTAATGCTCGCCTAAGATCACGTCCGCATATTTGACACTTTTTATGCGCGATTAGCAAGATACTTTACGTAACGGCGCAGTCGCGAATCGCATAACACGATAATAAGCACGCGCGAAACGTGTCTTTTCCACGAATAACTTTCCATCCGTGAATTACTTGTTCGATCGATTCGTCATTAGGAAATATAAACAGAAAAATTAAAGTTCCTCTGTGTGTAATTTTCTTAGCTAATTCTAGCTGAAAAATTCTTCCTATCTTTTACTTTTTTTATAGATTAACTTAATATTTGACACCATCGAAATCCTTAATATCCCTAGACAGTAATTCTGTGCAACATCTTTCCTTAAATATTAAAATAAAATCCAATTTTATAAATTAATACGTGTATAACATTCTTTTAGCTAGTAACAAATCCTGAGTGCTTACTATAATTCAAGCTTAGCTCTTGACGTGTTTTAAGAGATCAAGAGAATGTTCTTTCTTAAATCCACGTTTTCACCTAGATCTACAATCCTTATCTGGTCCCGTGTCGAGTTATCGATCACAGACCCCAAAATATATCGATAAACGACCAGCATCGGCTTATTCGACGATAAATCCGACCATAAGCCCCTAACGATAATTTAGGGCGGTGTATAGCAACGGCAATGAACGTCGAAACCCGGTGACAACCACGCCCAATCGAATTCGGCGCGTGAATCGATCACTATGGTATATTTTATCACGTGACTCGTCAGCGAGCGATGACGGTCGACGCCTCCCACCTGGATCGCTGGAAAGGACACGGGTTATTTCTGGAAGGTGATTCTCGACTAGTGCAAACACATTCCACGAACGTTCCAACGATTTTTCATCCGGCTTAGAAAGTCGGGGAAAATCGGCGCGGCAAACGAGTCGAATTTCAAACTCGCGATTCGCGAAAGTACTTAATGAAAGTTCCTTTGACATTTTCACAAGCCTGATATATGGAATGTATCTATCTACGCGAATGTTCCTTTTTCTCAAATTGATTTGCTACTTCCAATGATTAATCTAAATAATAAATCATCGGGAAAAGTAGCGTATGTTATAGGTTATGTTGCCGACGTTCTTGGAATAATTGTTAAGATATAGAACGAGATATGAAAAGCAATTATTACTTCTCGTAAACGACGTGACTAGAAATAAAATTTTAAAACCAGTCTGGAATATTACATGGTTCCTTGAATAATTTTCTAGTAACTTTCTTGATAAATTAAACAAACTTTTTTACGTAATTTTGGCACTATGATCGTTGAGGTTATTATTGTTTGATAATTGTGGGATTAATTTAAAGCGTGTAGTAGTTGAGTACATTTCGCATAGTCGATACAACCATAGAGGTTAGAAAAGACGTCCTACGTGGACACGGAACTCCCGACGAAGCCCTACAAGTGCAAAGTCCTCGTGAATGGCCTCTATGCTTCGTAGCTTATGACATAATAGCTTTATGCATGCTGCATATGGCGCGACGTAATACATTTACGCGATCGTGGGCGCATGGTGCGTCTGACAGACATTGTTTCTAAGTATCGTGACTTTTGTATTTTATTCTAGCAACATGACAAACAGCGAAGAATAAATAAATTAAAAATATTCATTCCATATTCCTGTTTTAATTCGGTTCTTTGCTAATTTAAGAAATCCCGATATTATAGGTATCCCTAGATTTTACATTTCCCCAGAAAGTGGAACAGAAATTTCAAATTCTATAACTTTCGAAGAGCTGCGAAATTACGCGTTGAAAAATTTCCCTAGGATCATCGGATTCCTTACCCTTCCTATTTACGTCCAAGAAAGATGATCATGATCGGACTCTCCTGTTACCGGAAGTAGTAGCCACGCGTCGCTTATCTTGCCTCCTCTCTCACGGTTTCATGTCTTCATTGTAAGTTCATTCTACATTTTTCACTCGACGTTATAACGTTTTCGTAATTCCACGTTAAATCGCTTTTCGTTATTTTCTCGCTCTCAATTTGCACACCGATAATCGTTCGAACCTAACCTCAATTATCGAGTCTCGCTTTAATGGAACATGCACCGACAACTCGGTGTAGCGAAACGATCGTGCAAATGGGAATCGATAGCCAAATGACACAGTCATTTATAAATATCTACAACGAGGAAAAGCTTGGCTGAGAGAAAATTTCAGTTTTCGCTTGCGCAATAGCACCGCCCGCCTTACATAACCTCATAGTCGAGTGTAATGCTGTCGCAAAATGGGGAAGACAATCGTGAAAGCGTGAGAATTATTTCCTACGTTCTTCTTAACGAACAATTAGATCCATCAGCGTAATGACCGAAGCTGCTGGGGTCTATAACTGCAAGAGAAATTTTCTAATTCTCTATAGGAAGATGTCGAACGTGATAAATCATCCGGGTATGTAACTCGGTATTATAGTAAATGAAGAGGTAAGATTTAAAGAGAAATTGGTTGCCAGGCAATTTCTGTGTGATTATCGCACGAATAGTAAACGTTGAGTGCAAATTCAATAGGTATAAATATTGGCAGACTGTAGGAAAAATTATTGAAGAGATTACTAGCGTTTACTGAGAACTCTTGGTTCTCTGAAGTTGATTTTAAAGTATAATTCCACGTTCTTACGAGAAGTGTCTAATAATTTATTTCAAATTTTCCTAGATATTATTTCTTGAATTTAAAATTCCTCCATATTTGCAATTTAAAAATTAAAGGGAATTTCTAAAATCTCCCTAAATCTTTCACTCTTCGCATTTCCCTAGATTGGATACTTTCTAGGGATCTTCCTAGGGATACCTAAACTCGCGAGTCACAAATATCTCTAGATTTACATACCCGGAAAATATTTTAATTGTACATTCCGAATATGAAAATATCTTCAAGACTCATCCGACTGTATTCAATGGAAATGAACCGAGTTTGCGTTTCGGATATGCATCCCCATGTGAAAAAATAACTATGCTAATTTCAATAATATGTGGGAAAACGATTAATTAATCCTACCTTTGTATGAAGGAACGCCAGGGACTTGTTCACGTTCTCGATTTTGTGTACTCGCATGCGACCATTGTTAGGCTTAGCCAATCGTTCGCCAGAGATGATCTCCAGCAGTTTTAGTAACTTCTTGCCGTCCGCTAGATCCGTAAATAAATCGTCCACTTCCATACGTGCCTGCGAAGTGAAAGTAATCGATTCAACGAGTCGCTTCGAGTATCTTCCTGTATAAATATTCTAGGGACCCAAAATAGGTCCCATTTCCGAGAACCATTTTCAAAAGTATCTTCAACACCGTCATATTACATAAATTTATTTGCAAATCATTTTTTTCAGGTTAGGTTAAGTTATACAAATCGAAAAAGTATACTCGAGAAGTTGAGATTGTTATTTTTCTAAAAGCTGTTAAAGTATCAAGATGAAAGATTATTTTAAGAGATAATGGTACCTTCAACAGGAACGAGTTGATCCATTTAGTGAACGTCTTCTTCTGTATATGCAGACGTTCCTCCTGCAGGGCCTTAATACGGCCCTGCTCAAACCTCAGTGTATCTTCCCTTTGAGTCATTCTCTTCTGTATATCAGAACCACCCCTGTATTTATCGGCTCTGGACGGCGGATAATTGTTCGGTAGGTACTCAAGGTTGAAAATCCTGAATTGGGGTGCGGCGCCAAGCCCAGCGCCGGGCACATGCTGCGCCCCTGAAACCAAACATTTCATCAAAATTAGACACGTTGTAAACACAGCATCCCGTTTTAGGGTTTAAACAGAAATTTCTGGTTCTCTTCTCAAACGGGATTCCGTATAAATTGCGAGGGAGAAGTCAGAAATCCTAGGGGAATTTTCAAACGTCCCTATTTTAGTCACGTTACTGGTATATGTCGAGAACACCTCTGTCTATAAATACCGACCATCCCAGTAAACAATTTGGTTACAACATGACACTAACTGACACTAAATCTTTACAGATTCGACTACCTAACCTAAATTCATCCGTGTTACCAAAAGGGAACCAAACCTTGGTGCCATAACCTATTGTAGCAAGTATTGGTATACATACTTTTGTCGTTGATATATTAATTTATAGTAACATTTTGGTGATAAAACTGGTACCAAGTATTTCCAAAAATCTGACAGGTTAGGTTAACCAGGGTGAATGATAACGTAATTATACGTAATTACTCGTGTTTAAATATTTTTGCTTGCAGAAATTAGTTCCAATTTTTAGTATTTAGCATTGTCTAAGGCAAAACGACCAAGTTCCTGCTTTTACCCTCGTTCTACAGCTGAAAGGAAGCAGCAGTCCCATTAAGGCCCCAGTTTTTCCGCATACATACTAAGCAAGCAATTCACGTTCGCGTACACGTTTATTCGGCTGTTGTTCGGTCCTTATAAGGCGGGAAAAAATTTATGACACATGCCTGCTCGTCGACGATAGTAACGATAAACCGAGGACAATAATCTTGTCGAGTCACGAACGCTGGTAAAAAACAAAACGGTTCTCCCAGGTAAACGTCATTCGCGCTTGCTCTTTATTTACTTTGTACGCATTTCGCCACAATGCTGCCCCCTTTTTTCCCTAGTAACCACGCTCGGCCGCCATTGTCCGCGGAAGACGCATTAATTCTACTCGTAGTTTAACTCATAAAAGTCGACAGACGAGACGTTTTTATGCGAACCGATTTGAAACGGAATATCGGTTATAAAATCAATCATAACCTCAATCGCCAACTCTAACTGTTCTCGTGGATATTTTAGGTTAGGTTGTTCGAGCGAAATGCATACTGGGTCGAATCAAAGCTAGTCTACAAATGTTAACCCTTTGCACTCGAGAGGCGACTCTCGGTCGCCATTTAATCAGATTCTAAAGATCGTTATCAATTAATATCTCGAATTTAAAATTGCCCAACGACGCGTGGAATATCGAGATAAAATAATTCTACGTCTTATTGTTAATTTACACTTCTTATTTTCCATTTTGAAAATATCGTCGACTTTATGACAGGAAGTCTTTGAATTACTATTTTTCTGAAAGGAAAAGGGTTAATCCTTTGCATACGTATTTATATTTGAGAAGGCTACCAATCAACTTGAAATTCTTTTCCATATTCGATCAAAATGAAAACATTTTTATGGGAACACATTATTGTACAATTTAACTTGTCGATTTAGCAGAAAACAATTAGAAAAATACCCGAATTTAATATATGTATAATAATAAAATGTAGGATAGCGATTATATGGTGACATACGAGTGGAAAGGGACATACTTGGTCTAAAAGTGATAATAACATTTTCAGAATCTTTTTATCTATTATCTAATTACTATCTAATAGTACTATCTCTCTACTATCTAATTACTATCTAATATAATACTGTCTAATATTATTTTAAGTTCTTGGATCATTTTCACATCTTCGCTATATTGTCGTGGATATCTTTGACATGATTAAGCGCATGATTGTTTCTAGAAATAAAAAACGATTGAAACAAAAAGTCCTCGAAGAAATGAATCATAGTTATTGAAGTTCTACACGTTCAAGCTCGAACAACGTGCCTTATCGTCGCGTTGCATCAATAATCAAGTCGCATGCACCTTATCGTTCCAGATAAATCTGGATTGAATGGTTTTGTTTTCTCGTGGAAAAAAATGTTCGAGGGATATTGTTAATAAAGATCGAATAAAATAAGTAGTTTATTTACAACACGTGATTTCCTATTTCTACGACGTGGGAGCGATTCTCTTTTTTCTCAGCGAGATATCATATCACGGGGACGCGGATAACGCGCTAAATTGGTCGAGCACAGCATAGCACAAATTCTCCATTCACTTGATACAATTTTTATACTTCATACGATCCTTCATACCTTCTACAATTATTTCTTTATCCTTTCTCTTTTATATGTTTCAACCGTTTTCTAAGTTTTCCAAAATTAAAAAATATGAAAGTTGCCTGTTTCTCCGGAAAAAGTGTGCAAAATACTTTATTGGGTAAGACAGAGATAAGATAACGAAGGTAAAAAAAATGGCGAAATTCAATTCGAGAAAGTAGTTTCATCGTTAATACATTCACCACTTGTTAATTAGTTTACTAATGAATTTATAATTAATTATAATTTATCGATATTAACTTTAATAAATCTGATACTTATAATTTTTAGTTTTTAATTGTGATGTTCACACAATTAAATATTACATGCATGCATGTAAGGAGGATGTTAAAAAAGGCTATTTTTGGCGTTGCCTGGAAAAGAAAAATTTCTTCGGGAAAAATATGAATACAAGAGTATTTAATTTTAGGGATTTTATGCAACAATGTATAGGAATTAAATAGGAAACGTCAGTGTCGATTACAAACTGGTATATACAGGGTGTCCCAATACGGTAGTACAAATGAGGAGGGAGTGATTCTACATGAAAAAACAGATCGAAAATAAAGAATAAAATTTTTTCGTTCGAAGCTTCGTTGTTGAGAAAATCGACTTCGAATATTCACAGAGTGCGCTAGTATATTGATGGTCCATCCATTTTACTTTGTTAGCCAAAGATGGATGCCAAAGACGCGCACTCTACGAATATTGGAAGTTGATTTTCTTGAAAACGAAGCTTCGAATGAAAAAATGTTATTCTTTATTTTCGATTTGTTTTTTCACGTAGAATCATCCCCTCCTCGGTTGTACTACCTTTGCTGGGACACCCTGTATTTGATCTGTCTCATTTTCACATATTTCGATTAATTTTTGACGACTATCCCATCAATTCTCGGCAAAGTGATAAAGGAATTGTTTGTTCCTAAGAAGATGCTTTTAAAAGTCCTGAAGGGGCAATTTATTGAAGGGAACTTTTTATTTAAACAATTTAAAGAAGAAAAGAAAAGAAAAGTCAAAAGTCACAGATTATTACCAACAACAATTTATTCCGGTATATCAAATGCCATTTATTCAGTATATCCCTCACTATACTTGCTATCTAAGCAGCCGATTACTATTAATTGAGCATATAAGTAAATACGTTCGTGTGCAAGTATACGGCGCGTGGTGTCGTTGGAAAACATATTCAATAAGAGTGCTCATTATGTTAATGCAGCAATGGTATCTCGAAATTGATGTTTGCCGAGAGGTTGGTTTTCATTGCAAAACGACTTGCTAATTAGCGCGTGCTTGCCGGTGAAAATGTGCAATTTGTAGACATCGTTGTCACAACTTGAAATCCTGTTTTTTTTCTTAAGTAGCAACAATTTCAAGAATTTCTAGGTTAATATCTAGAAACTACGTTTCAATAATGCACCGTTCTAACTTAAAATTTGTTCAGCACTAGAGGTAACGATACGTGCGACTTGTAAATTTAACTCCTTTTGAGGTTAACTTTCGTAATAAAAACTCAATGAAGCTGGTACTGAAATATATAGAAATTACGTATGACATATCACTATATAGAATTTCAAATGTAAGCCAAGTTTAACCTAAAACCATTCACTGTCGTTGCAACCTAACCTAAAATACCAACGGACTACAATACCGTTAATATCGCGTGGATCTTTTTGCTTGAAAGAATCTAGTACAAAGGAAATTTATTATCACGAGGAGCAAAAGGAAGAAACAAAAGTGTACGAGAGTAAAAAGCAAAGTATCTACGCCAATGAAGAAGAACAGCAACCTCAGTGGTTAGCTCGCGTTCGCGTTGAAAAGCGTGCCAATAGTTGTCCGCGTGCAAACCGAGAGGGCAATGACAAGCAGGTAACATCGTAGATTTGATTAGAGTGCTTAAACTCTGTCTCTGTCTGAAGCTGTCCATCGCGTTTCTAAGCTGCTAGAAACCATGTAACGCGATTGTAACGCACGCGCGTGTATACGTTTGCGGATTCCTCGAGCGTAACCTCTGCAAACACAAACACGCGCGTTACTCGTAGTTTTCAGCAAACCTTACTTCTGCGTTAGTCGGAAGTTTCAGATAAATCGAACAGAGAATTCCGTATCCTTTCCGCAACGTATGTTTGCGAATTAGATATAAAAGCGCGTTTTTAAAAAGATGAATGTATTTATAGGTTATGCAAGATATAAGATATTCGATAAGATATTACGATTATCAAAGATATATCTTTGAAAAAGTCGAAATGGTAGATTGCAGAATGAAATCGAAAAATTATTATTGTTCCAAGAAACAGTCATGAAGAATTTTGAGGTTAGAGTACAAAATTTTGGATTCCATTTTAACGGAACTTCGTAGAACATTTGAAATTAGAATAAAATATGAACGATAGAAGAAACATTATTTTTCATGACAATTTCTGGACAAAATTGTGTAATTGAACAACTTTGAATTTGACTCGAGGTGTATAAAATATGATTCGATCGATTATAGAATTGATCGAGCTTACAATTAGTCAAATTTCATGGAAAGATATATGTTTCTACGTGTGTTTAAAACGTTACGTAAAAGTTGTTCAAACACAGAAGCACAGTGGACCCTGATCGAAAACATGGCTCGATTAAATCGAAGCAAGAGCAGCTCGAGTCGACGATCGGCTAAACAGCAAACGACACCCGTCGGGCTCTAATTACATGGAATGCGTGACGAGACTTCGATAGATAATCTATCTGCTCAGATAGGCCAGCACCCAGGTATAGTTATTTCGACATCTATCTTGCACTGTAAAATATTTACAACCCAGGTCATAATTTCTATCGATAAAAGGATAAA